GCCTTTGGTCCCCCTAGAGCCCCCTCCAGTCCACTCTCCACAGGGGAGCCGCTGGAATCGCCCACATGCAAATCAGATCCAGCCACTTCCCTATCCGAAAGCAGCAGCGGCTTCCTCTCCATGAGGACCAGGTCGCGCCTGCCAGGGGCTCCGGCCCACAGCCTGGCCTACTGCTGAGGGCAGGCTGCAGCCGGGAGAGCAGGCAGGGGAGAGGGCAGTCGGACCTGAGAGGGGAGGGCGGCAAGGCCCAGCCTGGGCCTGGGGCTGGGAGAGCAGGTTCTGCACCCTCGGAGGGCTGACCCGGAGGCTGTGCTGACGGGTTGGGTGGGAGACTCGAGAGAAGCCAGAGGGCCAGGCCCGACTCCCAGGCTTGTGGCCTGAGCATTAGAGGAGCGGAATTGCTCCTTTCTGGAATGGGGAAGAATGTGGCAGGGGCCACTTTGGCTGCAGTAGGGCGTGAAGAGCTGTGTGATAGACAAGCCGGGCTTGGGACACGATTGGACAGCAAGAGGAGATGTTGAGCTGGAAGCTGGACAGGAGTCCGGAGTCGGGAAAGTGGCTCCGCCAGATGGACATATGGGGAGTATGCAGGTGGTCCACCCTCATCTGTCACTCTGTCCTACTGTGGGGGCTTGCGTGTTGCTGTGATGCTGGAAGCTAGGCCACCAGTATTCAAATACCAGCAGGGTCACCCGTGGGGGACAGGTTTCAACAGAGCTTCCAGACTAAGACAGACTAGGAAGAAAGGCCTGGTGATCTACTTCTGAAAACTATCTACTTCTGAAAATTAGCCCATGAAAACCCCGTGCAGGGGCGGGAGGAGGGGGAGAAGGAAGGGCTTGTGCTTAGGGGTATTGAGTTTGGGTTGTTTATGAGTTTATGGCGGTGGGATGATTTGGAAAAGGATAGTGACAACGGTCACACAACATGAAGAATGTAATCGGTGTCCCTGAATCACACATGCTGAAGTGGCTGAACTGGCAAATACTCGGCTGTGTACATTTTCACCACAATTTTTAAAAAAAGACCCTCTGGAGCACAACGGAACACTGTCTGATACAGTGCTGGCAGATGAGCCCCTAGGTGGGAAGGCTCTCAGAATACACAGTGGCTGCAACCACGGATTCCAGCTTGCCAGCAATCACAGAGATGGCACAGGACGGGGCAGCGTTTTATTTCGTTGAACACGGGGTCGCCCTGAGTCAGAGCCGACTCGACAGCGTCCCCCAACTCCCGTACGATTTTGTTAACTGACAGCATCTTCCAAGACCCTGTTTTCAAACAGCGTCACATTCACAGGTTCCGGGATTAGGACTTCAACGCGTCTTTTCAGGGGACAGACTTCAACCCATGACAGTTCTCAAGAAGTTCTTGTCATTCATGAGATTCCATTTAACGAGGTAAGTCAGCCGGGCGGAGGAGGGCCTGAGCCAGGGCAGCCGTGGGGGCCTGAGTCCTGACAGGGTCAAGGCCGGGGGCTTGCAGGGCTCTGGCACTGGCAGCTGGACCACTCGCGGGGTGCAGGCCCCATCCGTTTGCTGGGAAATTCGAAGAGAGGAGAGGGGAGAGTTAGTGCCGTTGCCTTAGCAACCGCTCTGTCACATCTCTGAGGCACAGTCACAGGAGGCTTGTCTTCAAGAAGCACGGAGCATATTGATCGGCTGGTGTCCTGGGGAGCCTGGATGAAAGGCAGCCAGCTGGGTCCCGTTGTGAAGACAGTAGAAGAAGGGGTGGGAGGGTGGGGTGTGCCCGGGACCTGCTGTTTTAGCTGACAAGGAAAGCAGGGCCATCAGGCCCCTGCCTCTGGGCCCCACCTCAGCTGAGATTCCTGGGGCTGGTGGGCGAGAGTTGGGCGACTGTCCAGAACAGCCCAGAGCCCCCAGACCTCCATGGAATCGCTCACTGCCCTGTGGCATTCCGTGATTTTCCTGATGGGACAGCCATCAGGATAAGAAGAAAGACAAGAACCTGGATTTGTTAGGAGTGAGGTATTGGCAGCCTTGCTGGCATGACCACGCTGGGCCTGGATTTCAGCCAATCAGAATGGGTGAGTGAACCCCATAAGGAACTTGGAGAAGACTTGCAGGACAGGGCTGACATCGAGTCCACCTCCCCCTCCCCAGACGAGGGCCAAATAAAGAGGGCATCTTGGGTGCAGGGATGGATAAACGTATTACAAATCCTGTCTTAGATCTCTAGTGTTGCTATAACAGAAATACCACAAGGCGATGGCTTTAACAACAGAAATTCATTCTCTCACAGTCTAGGAGGCTAGAATTCAGGGCACCAGCTCCAGGGGAAGGCTTACTGCCTTCTGTTGGCTCTGGGGGAAGGTCCTTGTCGTCAATCTTCCCCTGGTCTAGGAGCTTCTCAGCTCGGGAACCCCAGGTCCAAAGGACGCACTCTGCTCCTGGCTCTTCTTGCTTGGTGGTATGAGGTCCCCCATCTGTGCTCACTTATCTCTTTTATATCTCAAAAGAGACTGACTCAAAAAATAATGAAATCCTGTAGATTGAGTCCTGCCTCATTAATGTAACTGCCTCTAGTCCTGCCTCATTAACGTAACTGCCTCTAATCCTGCCTCATTAACATCATAGAGGTTGGATTTACAACACACAGGAAAATCATATCAGTTGACAAAATGGAGGACAATCACACAATACTGGGAATCAGGGCCTAGCCAAGTTGACACACATTTTGGGGGGACACAAGTCAATCGGTGACAAATCCTGACAGTGTAAAAATAATATAAGCAAAATAATTGTTTTTTCATAGAAAGGAAAGAGAAAGTCAGAGAAACTGAAAACTGCCCAGTCTTTCAAAACAGGAAGTCATTAGATGTGGTCTCAAACTGAGACTTAGAAAACGTAAAAAAAAAATGTCTGACTCTAAACGGCTGATGGTTTCCATACACTTTTCGTTCTCAATCTTAGAAAGTTCTTCTAGGAAATTATATCTTGCCGTGTGCTAGGTAGGGTTAGAGGTTCTACGTGGAATGTAGCTCATTCCCTCCTCTCAGCTGTGTGTTGAGATGGGGCTGCTCTCAGGGACTCCACCCCCAGGAAGTAAGTGGGGCACAGAGAGGTTCACCCACCTGAAATCACAACAGCTCGCAAGCAGCAGGGCCAGGATTCAAACCCAGGCCGTCAGGCTGAGAAGTCTTAGTCCCATGCTTCTACGTCATACGTCCTCTGAGAACACCCACAAAGCAGTGTCCGCCTCGTGACCACCCCATGTCATTGCTGGATGCTCTGAGTAGTAGGGCCTTTTTGTTACTTTCTTCTTTGTATGATTCATTAAAAAGCAATAAAATAATGAGCCACCACCCACCTGTCACTTTGTCATCCTGTGGTGGCTTGTGTGTTGCTGTGATGCTGGAAGCTATGTCACCAGCGTTTCAAATACCAGCAGGGTCAGTGGATAGGTTTCAGCGGGGCTTCCAGACAGACTAGGAAGAAAGGCCTGGAAATCTACTTAGGAAAATTAGCCAATGAAAACCCCACGGATCACAGCAGAACATGATCCAGTGCAGTGCTGGAAGATGAGCCCCCAGGTTGGAAGGCACTCAACGTACACAGTGAGTGCAACACCGACAATCAGGAGGATGGTGCGGGACCGAGCAACGTTTTATTCTGTTGTACACGGGGTCGCCAGGAGTCAGAGTCAACTAGACAACAAGTAACAATGACAGCAACAACACTGAGTATGTATAATTTTTAAAAATAAAATCAGTTCTTGCCAAAATTGGATCGTGAGCCTCAGTCCATCTGAAAAACCAAACCCAGAGGCCGGGCTCGCACTCAGCCCCCTGACCACGTTGCACACCTTCCTTTGCCTGTCTCTGCTCTGGCACCGTGGCCATCACAGGCTGCCTCCCAGCAGGTGAGGTAGGACTTAGTTTGAGCGTCCAGCGAGCCGAAGGTGTTAATGCGCTCTCAGAACCGGCCTTGCGGCTCTTTCGTGTTTATAAACTGTCGTCAGATGTCCCTGCATTGGGTCTTTACAGTAGCCCATAAGACAGGTAGTTCCGGCCTCGTTCGTCCCCATTCTACAGATGTGGTAACTCAGGCTCAGGAGCCAGGACTAGACACCCGCCCCTGCAGCTCCAAACACCTGCTCTCCCCATCCCTTTGCTACCTCTCTCAGAGATCACCGGGCGCCAAGAGGCAAGGGGCCCTACACACAGCTTTCTTTCTTCCCCTGACACGGACAGCACTTCGGGTCTATAAGGAGGCACTAAGGTCTGCGCCCACTTAAGCCACGAAGAGGGCAAAGACACACCTGTCCCCAGGACAGGAAAGCCCCAGCTTGGAACCAGATGACCGGCTTCCCAGCCCTGTCCCCCCGTCTTGTCCCTGGGAGCATCCTGGTTCTGAGCTTCAGTTTACCTCTCAAAGGGCGTACCTCTGGAGATGCCGAGTCTTTCTGCCCCAGACGACCCTCCAGCTGCCATCTGTCTCGCCATCCACCCACTGAGCGAGGCCACTCGCTGGGTCTAGCCAGCCTCCCCTGTAGTCCCCAGCGCTGGCTCCTCTCCATCCGTGTCCCAGGCACCTGGAGGCCACTATGGCCAAGGCTAGCCAGTATGGAGTTTTCTCCCAGTTAAATTTCCCCCGCCTCGTTGATGTCACATCCTGTCCCAGCCTGCCTCCCCGCTGGCCGCAGCCGCCCTGCCCCTCCCGCGCGTGAGCGTGGTGCGGGTGCCTTTGCGCACCCCCGACCCCGCCCCTCCCGAGCAAACTTTTGGCACCCACCTCGGCCGCGAGCGCGCCTTGGTGTTGGGCGGGCGCGTCGCCTGGGCCCGAGCGCGGCGCGGGGAGCCGCGGCG